AATGGAACGGGCTGGGCTGCATTAACATTTAATTTTTTAATGCGCGTTTTAATGCAGCCAAGTCGCTGGAAACCATATAGATATTCACTAAATATATCGGCTTGCTCTTTTATGTGCCACATGGCCAGTCCTGCAGTGAAGATTAGCGAGCGGATTGCTGTACTTGACAGTTTGGTCGCATGGCAACAAATGTATGATGACCCAAGCTGCAGCTAATGAAAATCAAGTGATCTTGTACATATCGTATATATGAAATAGTGATCATATCGTCATATTCAGTTTCCGTTTACCTTATGATAATACAATCAGCATATACATACATGCAATATGAACATACATCACACTTAAGTTGTATTCCACATTGTTATATGATACAGCAACATGCATATGCACAGAAAGGCATGTATACACATAACCCATGGGGGGGTGCATAATCGCATAGAGATGATACTCAAATCCGAAACCATAAACGCCACGAGTACCGCGCAGGTGCAAAGGGTGTGCTCCCGCATCGTCATCGGCATCATGAGCGGCAGACTTCCACTTGCCTGCAAGTTCGGCTCAAACACCTGCGCATACCGTCCCTAAACCCTAAACTACACACTTTGCAGTTTGTATGAGGAGCTTATAGTTTTGAGAACTCTTCCTGTTTCAACAGCCGGTATGTAGGAGCCTGAAGTTTTGTAAGTTGTGTCCGCAATGGCGTTGTCAATACTGCGCCACCCTCCTCGTGTGAAACCTCTTCCTGTGGGACGCCTTCGGAGTGAAACTCTAGTACAGCTACTTGGTCCTCAACCTTTAGGAGAGCCGACACCACCACCCACACCCCCGCTACCACCACCAACACCACCACCACCACCGCTACCACCCACGCCAGCGACACTACAGCCACCACCACGACCCACGCCCCCGCTACCACTACCACCACCACCACCACCACCACCAGCAAAAGCACAAGGCTTGCAAGAGAACGGCGACACCTTTACGAGGTGTCATAGTACCACCGCCAGAGAAAGTTGCTCGAAGACACGGAGTTGTAGTACCACCACCACGAAGAGGGAGTGTTCCAAGTACTGCTGCAGTTCTACCGCCGGATCTTAACATACAACACAAAGCCGCAGTACCCGCTAAAACACTTCCAGTACGTCGGGCTGAAGATGATCCTGGGAAGCATGTTCTACCGCCGGATCTTAACCTACAACACAAAGCCGCAGTACCCGCTAAAGCACTTCCAGTACGTCGGGCTGAAGATGATCCTGGGAAGCAAGATCATCCATTGACCTCTCCTGCTTGTACTACCTCAGCTATAAGTCCCAAAGTGAAGGAACCAGCTTTTCCGCCTTCTACCTCAGAACGTGAGCGCACAAGAAGTCCGAGAGTGAAGGAACCAGCCTTCCGCCTTCTACTTCAAGAAGTCCCAGAGTGGAGGAACCAGCCTTTCCGCCTTCTACCTCAGGAAGTCACAGCGTGAAGGAACCAGCCTTTCCGCCTTTGATGGTAGTTCAACTGTATAGCGGGAATGAGAGTAGAAATCTTTCTGCTTCGGCAGCTGTAGTCATCCTGGATCTGAAAAAATTTGCCGATCCAGGAAAGGACCCGACTACGTTGTCTCACATAATTAATTAGGCTGGAACCCACGAATAGTGAATCGTTTACTGTCGCTAAGTAAATTTCGCTGCCTGATGGCACGGGTCATTACCTTGGCCTGGTCACGACGTGAAATCGACGTGCTTTGTAAATGTAGAGCAGGCAAGCACAGGAGCGTCGCGGCAACCACAATACTTGCCATGCTTTTCCATACATATCTAGATCCCAAAGCAGTTATCCAGGTGGAACACTTGGAAAGCAAGACTGGGTGGAATCGGACGTGTAAAGGCGAATGCAATGAGTGCCAAAGTGGCAGTCCTGCTACTTTGGATGTTTATAGCCTCAACGAGATATGGAAGATGTGTCCGTATCATGCAAAGCATGACGAAGTACGTCTAGTGCTGACAAAGCACTGAAGGATGTTTCACACGTGACGATGTTGTTAGGAGGAACTTTGGATGTTTATAGCCTCAACGAGATATGGAAGATGTGTCCGTATCATGCAGAGCATGACGAAGTACGTCTAGTGCTGACAAAGCACTGAAGGATGTTTCACACGTGACGACGTTGTTAGGAGGAAAAGCGGTATGCGCAGGTGTTTCCCTAATTGATTTGTGCGTGTCATCCTTGCAGTATGTAGTATGTATAACACAAGCTCCCTCCCATTCCAGGTGCCTTGGCTGGTCGCAACACAGACATATTTCAGTTTTCTTTTCGTTTTAAGTCTAGACGTTTGGAGATACTTAGTACGACTATCCGGAGTTACGGGTTTTATTTCTTTGTAGCCAAGAAGGCTTAGGCAATACTTAGCATGATTATTCTAATGTTGCAGGGTTTATGTCGTTGTAGAGAAGGGGTGTTAGGCAATACTTAACATGATTATTCTGGTTTTAACTGGTGTTGTGGGGTTTATGCAGTTGTAGTGAAGAGGTGTTGGACAATACTTAACATGATTATTTTGGTTTTAACTGGTGTTGTGGGGTTTATGTAGTTGTAGTGAAAAGGTGTTGGACAATACTTAACATGATTATTTTGGTTTTAATGGGTTCATATCGCTATAGATCGTTGTAGACAAGGGGTGTTAGGCAATACTTAACATGATTATTCTGGTTTTAACTGGTGTTGTGGGGTTTATGTAGTTGTAGTGAAGAGGTGTTGGACAATACTTAACATGACTATTTTGGTTTTAATGGGTTTATATCGCTATAGATCGTTGTAGACAAGGGGTGTTAGGCAATACTTAACATGATTATTCTGGTTTTAACAGGTTTATGTCTTTGTAAGCTGTTGTAGATAAAGGAGTGCTAGGCAATACTTAACATGTATATTGGAGTTTTGATGTGTTCAGGGTAAGGTCACAGAAGGCTTCGAGGTAGGTCCTGGGGGGGGGGGGGGTAGCATATATGTATATTATGTATGTATGAATGTAGAAATATATATATATATATACATATATATATATATATATATATTGTAATGCACTCTGTCTCTTTCTATCCATCTGCGTCAGTGCGAAGCATAGCCGTATCTCTGGGGCCTCACTAACGCATACGGCGACAAGGCCCGCTAGACACCGAGCAGGACCGGCAGGTCTGATCTCCTGCAGCCTTTGTGATAAAGACCCCGTCGCAGTAGCAGCCTTGGCTGACTTCTGAAGCCCTCCAAAAAGTTAAACTTTTAGCCTCCTTCTTATAGTTCATATAGGAACCCAAAAGTTAAAGTCCTAAGAGTCAATCAGAAGAACGCCAAGCAGCATTGATAGTCTTGCTTCACACATGGTCTGTAGTTCATGACGGGATTGCCGTTGCACGCCGCTTCATCCTTCTCTGTTGAGAGGTATCCGTGAAAGTTGCAGCACACGGCGAAACCCTGCTCGGTTGCCTCAGTCTCGGATCCTTTGATCACTTGGTGGCGTGTCGCTCCGCCCTGCTGGATCAGGCCCACGCAAACCATCGTCAAGGGCAGGAGGCGCATGAGTTGTCTGGATATGGCAGACAAACAAAAGAACTTCTAGCTTCTGCGAACTAGGTGGTGCAGCTTGGGCCACACATGCAGGCGACGGCACGAGAAGGACTTCATGAATTGGTGTACATACCGCGACTTCATCGTGTTCACGCATATGGACTTAGATCTCGGTCTAGGGAGTTCGGGCATACGTTTGCATGCAGTAGCAAATTGCCCACTCTCGCCAAGTGCACAATCACAAGACTTCAAACTAGCACTATCGATTGTCCCGCTCATGACACGCAAAACTGCAACGACACAAAACACAGCAGTAATCGAGCTTTTCGCGGCATGTCACACTATCACTGACAGATGAAACCGACTCTCCGTCGTCATCACCAGCATATACAGCATCATCATCATAATCCGATTGTTATGCTCATTGTCTTTCACCAGCAACAAAAATTGCCATCATCATCGTCACTATCACGGTCGCAGTCACCGCCGTGATCACCGCCATCAGATCATTATCATTCTCATCGTCTTCATCAGCATCATGACCGGCTTCTTGCCATGATCATGGTCTTCTGCTTCCCCCACTGTCATGGTACCGACATAGGCACCTAGTCATAGCAAGAAAATCTTCGCAGACTGTTAAAGAAACCCGGAAGGGCTTTACCAAACGCAGCCGCGTACTGCACACCGACGCTTAGAGGCAGAAATCTCACCGGTCTCGGGGCTGTCATAGCGAGGTTCCCTCGCTTGGTTTCGGGCAAGGGCCCGGGCCCGAAAACCCAGAAATTCGGAAGGATCCAAAAAGTAGATCCCTTCATGGGGTTTCCTGCAAAGTACCCTTAGTACTATAGGGCCCCAAATTAGGGGATCTACTTTCTGGATCTTTCCCCAACATAGAAACTTGAACGGCGGAATCCTCAGTCTGAGGACCCGAAGACCGACGAAAGAGAGGACTACAGCCTAAAGTAAAAGCCAGAAAGTTGGAATATGATTATCCTAAACCCTTTATGGTAAATTATAAGGTATCCTACCTTGAAACCATATTCCAACTTTCTGGAGTTCCCTTTAAATCCCCGAAACCCCCAACCCTAAAGAATTGACCCTAAACCGTACACCTAAACCCCTTAGAAACTCGAAACCCTTCAGGGGTCAGAGGTCGGAGAGTGTCAACACCCGCGCTAGTCTCGCTGCAGGCTGAGGCGTGGAGCTCAACTGTGAACCCTTCACCGTAGGATTTCAGATTTATGGTCGGCTTTAGGGTCGATGGTCAAGCCTGTACATGGGTTCAGCGGTATGTTGTACTATTATTTGTTAAGGAACCCTACTCAATGTTGTAACTGTTCAGGCCCCTATGTTAAACTCTTACAGTTCCCCTTGGTGTCGCCATTCTGGATGTATACAGGCACCGTTGTTACATCGCCAACAACTCCTGGGCGGCCGTGACAGATACATACGCGCAGGGGCTTCTACATAAAGCTATACAGGGAACTCGAAGGGTTACCATGAGGTAGTATAGCGGCCTGAGTAATCAGAACCGTATATTCGGGTATATGTTATGGCTGAACCAAATATATCAGGCACGAATTAGAAGGGAACGATATCCTAATTGCCGTTGCAGATAGAATCCTAGAGTAGCCCTTGCCCTTTAAGTAACCCTTATAGTATCATCCTCCTTACAACAGCAACCCTTGTGGTAACCCTTTAGAAAGCCTAATATTCTTTATAGTTACTACTCGGAGGTTCATGGGACTTAGTAGGTACAGTTACAAGTACCTTAACTGGGGATATAACACCAACTATAAGTATAATGACATGATTAATAACCCTATGTTACTAAGTACCATGAACCTCTAAGTAGCCCTTATTGTTGGCTGGTAGCAAAGAGGCCAGGTCTTACGGGGCACTTTTGCACTCTACTTGAAAGCTCTAGGAACACTCACAGGCATTCTTCTCATCTTGCTGAACATGTCAGTTCACAGTCGGGGGTAGAGCCAAAACACCTAGTACCTAAACCCGAAGCCGCACGCCCAGCACTCTACTCACTGCGAGCTCTGCATCGGCAGCGGCACGAGGCGCGCTGCAAAAGGCCAAGCAAGAGAAATCTGGGCCGTGCAGCAAGGTCTTAGGGTTGAGGGTTTAATGGGTTTTCTGACGCCGAAACCCCAAAACCCCAAACCCTGAACGCTGAATCGGTGGGTAGCATGATGAGGGAGACCCCTTAAAGGGTAACCCCTTCCGAACCCTACTTCTGGCTCTCTTTAAAGGGATCTTATTGAGAGGGTCTATATCCCCGAGGGTCCCAAACTCCCAAATGGTGCCTTTGCATCGCCTCTTCTGTGAACACGTAGGGTAGAGCAAAACAGCGGCAGCTGTACTCAAACATAAACCGTCATGATGGTACCTATGGTCTCCTTTATTTGGTTAAACCATTTTTATAGTTAGGATCCTATTAGGTAACCTAAAAAGGAACTACAATGGAGACTATAGGTAATCTTGATGCCGGTGATATCAATATTAGTCACACTTACACTAAGGCCCCATAGTAGTTCCTTTTTGGGGGTTCATATTTAGAATCCTAGGTCATCCCCAAGAGGAACTACTTTGGGGCCTATGGGTAATTACATGACACATACAAATAGAGGTGTCGGAACAATGAGTGTTCGAATTGTTCGAATCCGCGGTAGTTCATACAAATGTATCTCATTCCAGAAAAATGCACCCCCAAACCCCCGTTCACGGCGAGAAGCTGGGTTGCGAGCACCGGTATGGAAAGCCAGGGAGGAAGCCTGGCATTCAGGATGTGCCAGGATGCAGGCGTTGAGGCTGTCTGGGGTTAGGGTACGGTGGATGACAGTGTGGCATGGTTTCAGGTAGTGAGAGGGAAACAGATGAAAGTCAAGGCACACCGAAAGAGACCTGAATGCCGGCAAACATGCATGGCTGCCACCTGCTGCACCTCATCTACATCTTCCTCTGCACTCACGTCGACAACTTTGGCAAGCGGCTTCAGGAGCCATTATGTAAAAAGACGACAGCTCAAAGAAGTGTTGACGGCCTCCGAAGTGTCTGACTTCAGCGGGCTTCACTAGGCAGGTCATGCATGCCTTGACTGACTTAGTTTCGCACATCTTCGTGATACGGCTTTCTTATATGCTCCCTCCCCAGATTCAGGAGAAAGCCCTGACAAGGCTTTCTCCTGGCATGCAAATCGCATCTTCTCAGGCAAGCTCAAAACAACCAAGATGATCCATCAATTGCCAGCTCCACCCAAGCTGTGGGTCTATGACAGCATATACCCTAAACCCTAAACCCCTAAACAGTAGACCGGTAGGCGTATAATACGAGTAAGCCCCGAGCATCAAACGTTCGCTCTGCTAGACGAGGAGCATCTCGAAGCCGACAAAGAAGTAGTTGACGTACCATCCACCCAGCCATCCAATGGTGACCTCGGCTTAGGGTTTGGAGCTTAGGGTTTTGAGTTTAGGGTTTATGGTTTTAGAACTTAGGTTTTAGGGGTTTAGGGTTTAATTAGGGGTGTAGGGTTTAGGGGAATAGGCGGATGACGAGGCCCTGGCACCAAACGCTATGACCCCATCAAGCCCGTAACCTTCACCCCACATCCAAGGCGCTGTAAGCATTAAATACCCCGAAGAAGACCCCTAAACCCTGAACCCGACATAAACCCTAAATACACCAAATCCCTATATAATCCCAAGGTTGCAACTGGCTCTAGGAACTGTAGGGTGTAGGGCTAGCTCCAATCGAGGTTTAGGGAGACCATGAACCCCAATAGCCCAACTCTTATACCTGGACCCCAAAGTATGTAGAATAATAGCCTGTTATAGGTTTTGGGCCATTATTTTAGCTACTTTCGGGGGTCTAGGTACAGTAAACACTCGAAAAGCCCAAGCGCAACAAATCGACAAAAAGCTTGATCTTGTCTCCGGCCATGTGGCCAGCATTGCAAGGGCGCAGTTGAGCAGCGAGTCCCTGAACCTGGACTCATTTCGAATCTTTGGGAGCCTTTCTGCGGCTTTGCGTAGGTGTTATAGTGGCCTGAACAGAAAAATCCGCTCGACTAAACGTTGGCCCCGAAGCACTGAGCCTGAACCATGCCTGGGCCTGTCGTGCTGGGGCCTGCCGTGCTGCTTCTAAAACGACTTGATGGATCATGTTGATTGTAATGTCTGGTTAGACATGAAGTGTTGGGATCAACAAATATGCACATGTGGTTGCCATGGCCTTGGCCCCCATGTTTCGACTGATCCCCGAAGCAGAACACAAAACCACAAAAGGCGGTAGAACTCCAGAGCACTCACGCCCTAGATCATGAATTGCTTGTATGCCCCAAAGCCCCCAGAGCCCAAACCCCCAACCCAACAACCACAACTCTATGTTCTAGATTGTAAACTTTCGGAGGAGACCCCCAAACTCTCAACTCTACATCTAAATTCAAACGAAACTTGTCCCCTTCTTCCCTAGTTTAAAAAGTTCGCATGGATAAATAAAAAATAACAGTAAATATGAAGATAAATAAACAAATACACAAATTAAACAAATGTATAGACATATGCAGTCATATGCGTATGAACATATATATATATATATTAACAACTAATACTTTCATAAATGAATGAAGAAAGCGGAGAAATGAACACACACACACACAGAGACACACCTACTCAAACATGGATACATGCTCGGTGTATACATATATGTATACACACTTGCATGTATGTATGCATGAATGTATGAATGTATGTGTGCATGCATGTACCCCCAGCCTCGAACCCTGTAGTTCCCCTCATAGAGGCCCTGCCCTTGCAACACCCTCAAGGGTTCCTGTAAGGGTTCCAAGGGAACCCTGAAGGGAACCCGCAAAGGAGCGCCCTTATGGCCTGGTCCGGCGACGATCAACAAAGCAATGGCACAGCCGAAAGCTGAGAGGAACCATCCTTGGTGAATGTCTGCAGGGTTTTAGGGTTTGACCGGTTTTTACAGTGAAGGCTAAACCCGAAACCCTGTACCCTTAACCTCAGGGTTAATTCAAGTTTCAGGTTTGGGACTTCAAGGGTGTTCTGCACCCGGGGAGGGCTTTGCAGTTGATGGTTTGGGCTTTGAGTGGGCATGCCATGCAATTTTGTGTGGGCGTGGACTTCGTGTATTGGTTCAATATGGTCGTTGTGCGCGTGTCTCTCTCCGTCTGGCTGTTCCTCGACCAACCAACCCATCATAACCCATCCATCCCATCAGTCGATCATCAACAAACCAATCAATCAATCCATCGGTCCATCAATCCACCCACCAACCAACCAATCAGCCACTGCCTTGGCTGTGCAGAAGAAGAGCCGCAAGCAGATCCTTTTCTATGGGAACCAAGGTGCCTCGAAGGAGCCTCGAAATCTAGATCCTGCTCCCTGAACCCTCGGAGACCCTCGCCCCTAAACCCTAAACCCTAAAACCCAAAACCGATCCTGAACCCTCGGAGACCCTTGCCCCTAAACCCTAAAACCCTAAACCCTAAAAGCCCCAAACCCTAAACCCTAAACCGATCCTGCTCCCTGAACCCTCGGAGACCCTTGCCCCTACTAAACCTTAAAACCCTACACCCTAAAACCCTAAACCCTAAACCGACCCTGCTCCCTGAACCCTCGGAGACCCTTGCCCCTAAACCCTAAAACCCTAAACCCTCAAGACAGAAACAAATATAAATTGCTTGTCTTTTTCCAAACCAAACGGCCCGCCTCCCCGCCCAGCCCCCCACGCCGATCACCAACCCAACCAGCCCGGACCCCACACCTCCCTGCAAGAAACCCAAGCACAGCCCCCTACCTCCCCGCAAGCCCCCCCAGCCCCCCCAGCCCCCCAGCCCCCACAAGAAACACCCAAACAAAAAACAAACCCCCTTCAAAACGCTCAAAACACCAATGTGGTTTCCGCAGAACAGTTTCGGTCAAAACCCCACCCCGATCCCCGCCAACCCCCAACTAGTCCCAGACCCCGGACCCCAGCCCAGCCCACTCCCAAAATCAAAAAAGCAAAAAAACAAAACACCGTGAAAACAGCCCCCCACCTCCCCTCAAGCCCCAGCCCCCACCAGCCCCCAGGCCCGGCCCAATCCCAGCCGAGTCGTACGGCGGCGGGCCTTCGCTGCGAGCATCTGCACTGCATCCTAGACCCTCGATGCTGACTGAAGGTATGCACATAATTACGTGGGCAATGTGCTCGTCATGGATATCTGTTGGCACCATTCAAGGTATTTTCCGGCCACGATAGCAGCATTTGTAGCACGCCGTAGCGAGCAGCAGCTGTAGCAGCAGCAAGAGTGCCAGAATAAACGAGCACCACCACGGCGACGGCGATGTTCATCATGTGTTGACTACCTCTTCCAATCACGGTGTGACCTTTCTACCACCCCTGCAAGGGGTTTGGCTTTGTTGTTCTTGCAATCCGAACAAGACCGCCTCAAAAGGGACTAGTGACGCATTTGCGTGAGGGGCTTAAGATGGTGTGGCTACCCATAGGCCCCAAAGCCTGAAACTCACGAAACACTGTAATGCTTACAACAATTCCAAAATTCTGGCATCTATGGCCAGGCGGGTGGCAGATTTACGATATTTGCTGTTAGGCCAAAACGTCAAAACCCTCCAGCACAGCCCTCCACCTCCCCGCATGATCCCTTAAGTAGCCGTCTTTTTGAGGCTTTGAGCAGAGTTCTGGAAGAAGATTGCGGACCTCGAGGTTCAGGGTTTGATTTGGAGGGTTCGGGGCTTGTTCGGATTCGAAGGCGACAACGACGACGACTACTAGGACTCGAAGCCTCGCGAAGCGTCGGGAGGTGGTCGGACGGTGCCGAGGTGCCGCGCCGTCGCACGGGCCCAAAGGCCTAGGAAGAAGATATCGTATGCAATTGCTCGGCGGCTGTGTACGGCACATGTGCGTGTGAGAACCGATTGCAATCTTAAGCTTGTTCTTTCTGATGGATGCAATCAGCCTTGCCACTGGTGTCCGGCTACCTAAATAATGGGGTAATCGGGGTAATACGTAAATATGAATGGTTTAATGGTGTCACTGGAGCCCTTTTGGCTTTAGGGCACGTGTGTGTTTGTATGTTTGGTGTATAACGCCAATTTGGCGCCCAGGGACTATAAGGGTCATACTTCTAATACTAGGTACTAGTTCTAGCACGACAGGCACTACTATTACTTGTGGGACGATGTCTAGGGTTGTCGAACGATTTGGCTAGTTTTGAGATTCGAGCCTCGCCATGAACTTATAATGTTGCGAGCTGCTGCTCGGGCTCGGTCTCGAGCTCTTGAGAGGAAGAGTCCGCCCACCACCTCCCATTGCCACTTGCATTGTGCCTGTGCCTTACATTAGATTTTGAGGGAGAAGCCTCGACAGCCCCACCTCCCCGCAAGCCCCGCCAGCCCCGATCCGCGCCCAAGCGCCCCCCCAGCCCAGGACCCCAGCCCAAAATCAAAACACCCAAGCAAAAAGGTCAAAACCCGCTCAAAACACCGCCCCCCCCCCAGCCCACAAGCCCCAGCCCCCAGCCCCGATCCCCGCCCAACCCCCGCACCAGCCCAGCCCAGCAAATTCAAAATGTGGTTTCAATCAGAAAACGTTTCGGTCAAAACGTTTTTGGCACCCAAACCCTTAACAATTTCTATAAACCCTAAAGCGACCCTGCTCCCTGAATCCTCGGAGACCCTTGCCCCGAAACCCTAAAGCCCTAAGCCCCAAACCGATCCTGCTCCCTGAACCCTCGGAGACCCTGGTCTTCAGTCTTTGCAGATCCAGGCATCAACATCACCCAAGTTCCGAAGCCTCCCATCTTATTAGCTACTTGGGGGGTCGGGGGACTTCGTAAGTAGATAATAAGTAGACTTATAAGTACCCTAAAAGGGAACCCTAATTGGGGTTATGGTACTTAATAACCAGTTACTAAGTCCCCCGACCCTCCAAGTAGATATGAGGCTTTCCGAAAATTGGGGGTAAGAAGGATCCTACTGTTTAGGGTACTGGGTCCCCTATTTTCGGAAACTCCCATATCTTGTGGGATTTTGGGCTCCGCTTGCTGCCTGTTGCCTGGTTGGACGTTGTCGAAGACTGTAAACCCGAAACCGCCAAGTCTAAACCACCTAAACTAACCAGTGGTTTTGGGGGTTCCATGGCTCTTTAGCTCCTTATTTAGTAGGGATTATCATCATCCCTGGCTCCTTAGCTCCTCCAATATCAATGGTTAGTAAACCTGACATGTCACGTACAGATGACTGAGGGGTTTGCGCCTCAGCCTTCATCCCCTGCAAACCCTCCGAAGTGAGCCTTTCAAGCGCTCGAGCTCTAAACCCACAGCGCAGGTACTAAGCCGGCGCATGCCCTACCCAGAGGCCCCAAAGTAGTTCCTTTTTGGGGTTACCCTATAGGATTCTATATACGAACCCCAAAAGGAACTACTTTGGGGCCTTTGGGTAGCCCTACCCATGTCAACAGTTCTCTTCAAGCTCGAACTCGAGCTTCATCGGTTCAGGCTACCAACGTACGGCGCGAGGTGGGGGGGTGGGGCAGAGAATCCTACCGCTTCTGGGCTTCATGCAACTTTCACATCACTGAATCAAGGCAACCCCCGTCACCCTTCGATCTGCAGAGGTGGCATCCGACTCTTTACAAGGGTCTAGGGTTTCGCGCTTAGGCTTTATAGGGTTCAGGTTTTAGGGTCGCCAGAAGCAGTGGGCGATAGTGCATCCCCTCAGCCCCGAGACCCTTCACCATAGACTCCAACACCCCTTCATTAAGGAATATACCGTAAATCACATGGGGAATTTCCGAAAATTAGAGGTACCTTATTCTGGGGGCCTTATAATAAGGATCCTACTATTTAGGGTACTATATAAGGGTCCCCTATTTTCGGAAACCCCCATATTAGTGATCCTATGATATTTAACACCCCTTAATTAAGGAATATACCGTAAATCATATTAGGGACCCCTGCTATAATTTCAGGCATATTATGTATTCCTTAATTAAGGGCTGGTGGAGTCTCTGGGGGTATTTTGAGGTATGCCGGTGCGATATGACAAACCGAGCCTACCAGCGGCCCAGCCAGTTTCCAGCCGGTGCCGTCGTCGTACCAACTGCCGGCCATGTAGTCCTGGAATGTATGCGTAGTAGTAATAATGATAGTACGCATAGTAGTTCCTTTTTGGGATTAAGTTGTAGGATTCTAAATATGAACCCCCAAAAGGAACTACTTTGGGGCCTTAGGGTATGCTATACCCCCCTTAGAACCCTAATAGAAAGTAATGTGTTTAAGATTCTCTTGGGCTTTATATGAAGAAGAATAAAAAGTAATTCCTAAGGAGACTATAGTATGAGGAAGACTTCATAGACATCTCTAGACAGCTCTACTATCCCGATCATTCTCGGCACCTATCACCCATCACCCATCATCATCCCTCTCTCTCTCTCTCTCTCTCTCTCTGTCTCTCTGTCTCTCTGTCTCTCTGTCTCTCTCTCTCTCTCTCTCTCTCTCTTTCTCCCTCGCTGCATTTCTCTGCCCGGCCGGAAGGCCGTCCTAAACCCCGAAAACAAAAGAAACCTTGCATCTGCTCCTGGAGCGGCATAAGTAGTATCGAACCCGCCGTGGGCAGTCTCTATCGGCTGCATACGGTTTAGGGCTTAGGGTTCTACCATCATCCGTCGCCATAACCATGACAATTGTCTTCATGGATGTCACAACAACATGCTTCCAACACGGCGAGTTCTGACGATATGAGCAAGAACACGTACCATATGTACCACAAAACTAGCAGAAGTCATAACCTTCGCCCTGCTCAAACTTTAAGCATTACATCTTAAGGCAGAAGCGCTGGGCTCTCATGCCGTCTTCCAACTTCAATTCCTTGCACGGCCAGCTTCTTTCTCTGCGTTAGGGCTGGGCTTTGTAGTTGTAGGGTTCAAAGACTCCAAACCCTCAAACTCAAAAAACAAAAGCTGTAAACCGCCTAGACAGTGAGCTCAACCAGCTTTCTGAATCAGTTCAGGCTCGACGTTGGTGAAGACATGACTCCTTGGCCGTCAGGCTTGGAGAATGGCGCTTGTTTGGAGTCAGGGTTTAGGGTTTAGGGCTCAGACATCTGTTACTTTGAAAGCTTGCCAAAGCCCTGTACTTGATAGTGAGGAGTTTGGGTTATGAGCTGTTCTAACCGGTCTAAGGCATTAAAGGTAGAACAAGCTCAGACACATTCGTGGATCTCGGCTATGTGGCCGCTGCTGTCTACGAAGACATTACTCCAAACTCGCCATCTCGCTACACGCATGACATGTCTTTTCAGGACCCTCCCCCGCCTGTACTCAAAGACTCCCATCAAAGGAAAGGGGTCTTAAAGCTACGTGTACATTACTTGGTGGGCCCTGGACACATCCTATATTATAGACCCCAAACTTCAAAACAAAAACCCCAACCACTCAGAAGCCTCGACCTTCGTCTTACTTACCTTTGGTTAGTAGGGAATGGAAGAATGGTAGTAATAGTAGTTATAATTGTGCCCCATTCCTCCATTCCTACTAACCAAAGGTAAGTTATAGGATTATTAAGGCCCCCATATTATAGTACCCTTACAGATCCCTTATAGTAACCCCCATTCCTCCATTCCTACTAACCAAAGGTAAGTTATAGGATTATTAAGGCCCCCATATTATAGTACCCTTATAGATCCCTTATAGTAACCCCCATTCCTCCATTCCCTACTAACCAAAGGTAAGTTATAGGATTATTAAGGCCCCCAGATTATAGTACCCTTATAGATCCTTTATAGTAACCCCCATTCCTCCATTCCCTACTAACCAAAGGTAAGCTTATGGGCTCCGGGTTCAGACCGAAGCACCGAATCCAAGCCCTAATTCAGGGTCTGCGGTTTTGGGGTGAAAAACGCTCGAAATCCCCAAACCCAAACTTCGGAACGCTACAACCCCCAAACCCCTATAAATCCTATACGCCAAGCCCCCAAGCCCCAAGCAAATTTGACGCCAACAACCCAGGAAACCCTGCACTCTTCGACCCGAACTGCAAAGCCCTTTTCTGGGTTGTAGTCTTGGGGCTCTGAAAAGGAGTTATGAATATGTACCTCTATAGCAACCATAAGGGAAAATCGTTCGTTTCTCAAATTGCGACCCAGTTTTGTAACTTTCAAGAAAGAAGGCTTAATTCCAGATGAGAACTGGACTGCATCGTGGCATAAGAAATCGAAAGGACTAATGTTTCAAATCATCTTGACCCCAAAATAGAGTCTCTAGAACACTCAAGTTCTATAACCCTCAACCCCACCACTCTGTAACCCTAAAACGCTGAGCCCAAAACTCTATAACCCTGAACCGCTCCACTCTGTGAAGACCTGCCATCCAGGGCGCAGCAGGATGGGTACCAGCATGCGCGTCGGGTAGTGGCGGGCCGGACCCAGCGAGGCCATGACCTAAAGTGGGGTTTAGGGTTTCGGGTTTTTTTTGTTGAGGGCCCTTTTTCCAACTGCAGATCAGGGGGAATTCCTTTTCCAGGGGGAGCCTGTGGTTGGGACCTTCGTGTGGATGAGGGTTTAGGGTTTGGGGTTACTATGCTTACTAGTATCACTACTGATGGCGATGATGAGGAAATTAGAAGTAACCTCAGTACTATGATGATAACTGATGGTGGTGATGATGATGGTGACTAGTCAAGTAATGTTGCCGCTGCTGCTGCTGCTGCTACTGCTACTACTACCACTACTACTACTGTTAGTGTTTTTTTATCAGTATTACTATTATTGTTATAGTCCTGATTACCTGACACGTTTTGGGTTGGCGGGTTCGGCTTTTGGGAATTGGGTGAGGATTCAAGGTTCACCTGAAATGGGAGCGACGGATTCGGGACTGCCCCCATACAGTAAGAGCCGACAATTGGGCTATCGAAATTCTGGGGGTGTTGAGCTGAGGCCAGGAATCAATTTGAAGGGCTTCCCGTGCTGTGCAGGCTTCTTAAGTGGGGGATACGTTTGCACCACCACAGTGGCGAGCTGTTGAAGCTCTTCTGTCAGGAATCCACGTAGAGCGTTCCGTCCGGGGATGCAAACTGGGCGCTAAGGTTTTCATCTCGGGCTGTCGTTGTTGCTGCTAGTGTCGTTGCCTCGGTTTTTGTGGTGTTGTTGTTGCTACTAGGTCCTGCAGCCTGGACCGTGGGGCCGTTCTGCACTACAAGTAAAAGCAGGACCTAGCCAGGACCCTCCTTGTACCCTCAAACATGGGTATATGGTCCCAAACAAGGGGCATTTAGGCTCTAATAGAGGGTAGATGGAGGGTCTAGGAGAGCTCCCAAACTCTCAGAAACCTGAAGCCCTGCAGATACATTGCCGGACTGAACACCAGGGCTTAAGGGCTTAGGGGCTGAAGGTACCTGGACCCCAAAAGTATGTAGAATAATGGACTGTTATAGGTTTTGGGCCATTATTTTATCTACTTTTGGGGGTCTAGGTAGAAATAATGGACTGTTATAGGTTTTGGGCCATTATTTTATATCTACTTTTGGGGGTCTAGGTAGAGCCCTGGAGATAGGCTGGGGCGCAAGGTCATGCCAACTTCGGGCCTTGTCTCCGATCGTCTCACGGATCTGGCGGTTGCACACCTCCGTTGCCATTTGGGAGTTTCCGAAAACTAGGGGTACCTTATTCTGGTGGCCTTATAATAAGGATCCTACTATTTAGGGTACTATATTAGGGTCCCCTATTTGCGGAAACTCCCATTTGGCCAGGCTTGGTGCAACGATGCAGCACGTCGTGGAAGCTTAGGATGTCACAATCACGAAGCGTCATCAGAACAACCGTCTGCCACACTGCTACACTAAGGATTAAGATGAATTACACCACTGCCCTGCCTGTGAAATTCTTTCGTATTGTTACCATATGAACACCTACCGCTACTGCAGCGGCCCAATGACAAAGCAATAACACATCTACGTTCTCTGCCAGGCATGCGCTGCTTCACGTCTAAGCGCTCCTGAGAAAGATAAGACAAACCCTAAACCCTCAAACCCCTAAACCCTAACCCCCTAAACCCCAAAGCCCTCAACCCTGAACCCTAAACCCAAAGAGCACCTCAACATCTCCAAACCAGCTGTGGATCGTCTCTTCGATCATCGCCCGGTCCTTCACATCAGATGCTCTGTTTGTGAAGTTCTGGGTGCCGCGGGCCAACTTTGTGGCTTTATTCCCTATCACAACTCACCCGTTCCCTTCATATTTCCGCCTTGTTGGCAGCGGTGAGCATCGTTTACTGAAGGGTGATGAAAATCCGCCGAGGCCACAGGCCCAGGCGTCTTGGGGGTTAGCTCAGGTACCCTCCACCTAATCCTCCTCCCTCCGCTCCAAATGATTGGGGACACCCGTTTTTTGCGTTCGTTTGCCATCCCCTTGCCCAGCTTCCCATCATTTTACCTGACTTGTCGGCCTCCCCCCCCCTCCCAGGCCTCCCCCCCCCTCCCCCCCCCCTCTGCCCCCCCCCCCCCCCCCTCCCCCCTCCCCCCCCTCCCCCTCCCCCCCCCCCCCCCCCCTCCCCCCCCTCGTACCAACAACCGTGTAAAGGTTAGGGTTTGACAGGCCGCCCTAGCATGAAAAAACATCGACTGCCCCCTCGCCCTGCCGCTACACAGCCGAGGCGGGCGGCGTAGCGTTAAAATTAAATGTGCCTCTCGGTGGAGCTCTCCAGGCCTGTCTTTTCTTATCCCCAGGACTTCAACAACACCAAAACAGGAACTGATGTGGTTCTCCGTCCTGGAATGCGTAGGCTCAACATTGAACGAAGATATGTCGATTTAGCGGGCCGCGAATACCAGGACGACTTCTACTGCAACACGCAGCCAACTAAGTCTCCGAACCCGAAGCCCTACCTAGACTGAGCGAGGTACCTAGAAAAGGGAAATGTTCCACTTGTTCAGGGTCATATCCCTGTTTTGAAGGTACATTGGCCACTGTAGGTAGTCCCGAAACCCCTATAGACCCGTAAAGCCTTAAATCCCTTTAGGGAGCCCTTAGACGGCCCTGATAAGCTCCTACAAAAAGGGCCCCCCTAACTTCAGGGAGCCCTTAAACAAGGCCCCCCTTGTGCAACCCTAGACCCCTTTAGGGAGCCCTTGAGGAGCCTGAACCCTAGACCCCTTTAGGGAGCCTTTATAAGGCCCCTTTTAAAGGGTCCCGGCCTTGGGATCCGAGCATTCCGCCTGCTGCACGGCAAAGGTCCGCAGCTGCTGCTCCAGGGATCGTCGGTCGAAGGCGTAGCGCCTGACGGAAGCGCAGGGTTTCATGGGCTTAGGGATTTAGGGGTTTAGGGGCTTAGGGATTTTAGGGGTTTCAAGGGCTTAGGGATTCAGGGTTTTAGGGTTGAGGGGTTTAGGGGCTCAGGGGATTAGGGACGGATTAGGGGCTCAGGGGGTTCGGGACTTAGGGGTTTATGGTTTCGGGGTTTAAGGTGTATGGGATAGTGGTTCAGAGACTAGGGATTTGGGATCTGAGGAATTCGGGGCTTGGGACTTGTAGGTGTCTTGGGGCTTAGGAAATATGGATCCGAGGGTTCAGGATTCACAGTCTCAGGGCTGCGTAGAAACCAAACGGGAAGCATGAGACCAAGCCTGTGTTTAAAGGGGGCCTTACGAGTTTTAACAGGTTGTTCCGGTAGTATAAGTTACGCATATATTACGAACTATTCCGACCCCTGCAGTCATGGTCGGCACATCTTCTGGTAGGAAAGCGGCGGATGAAGTCCCGGAGGTTTTTGCGACCTGTCGCGCCAGAGTCAAACGTCGCTATAATTGGCTCCAGGTGCCAGATTGTCTTTCCATTCTCGGGTGGTTTGGGGTCTGGGGCTGAGGGCAGGCTAAGGCTACTGGAAGGCATCGGCGAGATATTATGCATGTTCTCAAGTCTGAAACTTTGCACCCCCCCCCCCTTTTGCCCTTTCTTTGCAGGCTGGTCGAGGCTCATGCCACGGGTGAAATGTTTCTGGGTGGTCTAGGTTTCTGGTAATCGACAGATCTGAGGCCTTGAGAGAGCCTGCTAGCAACTCAGCACTTGCTGTCGTTGGCCCGTTCAACCGCTACAAGCTCCCCTCCGTTCTTGACGCGGCTGGAACCCTGGCGGTTCCCTCGCAAAGTGAGTGCAGAAGTCTCGACGCGAGTGTCTTCCATAACCGCAAGGCCTGCCAAGCCGCTCCCTTCGACCACCACGTCCGAGATAGAAGCCTCGACGTTGTTTCGCGCCAGAATTCCATCAAAAGGCCCGGGTATCGCATCGTTGTCTCCCAGGAAGAGGCCGTTGCCGGTGAAGACGCTGCAGGAGCAGCGCGCTTGCAGCGGCTCGTCGCCGATGATCGGCCCAAAGAGCACGGCCCCCTGCCGGGCACAGTCGTGCACCCGACACCTCTGCAGGGAGAGTCGGCCCCCTTCAGCAGCCACGCCAGCACCCGTCGAGGATGTAACATCGCAGTCCTCCAGCGTCAGGTCTCCTCTCGAAGAGAAGATTAAAACAAATTTATAAAGACAAACAATAAGAAAAAAAAATACAAAGACAAAAAACTAATAAACCCACAAGAACCATGTAGGTATCCTCCCGAAGAGAAGATGGCGTAGTTGTTGGCCACGCTCTTCCCTGCGTGCTTGATATTGAAACCTCGGACTGTGACTTGAGACCCCTGCTCCGCCGTCAAAACGGCCTCGTAAGGCTTCTCCTGGGTTCTTGTTAAGGGATCTAACTTCAGTTACCATAATAGGGATCTATAGCAAATAATACTAGTTAAGGGATTTGATTTAAGTTACCAGAATAGGGATCTATAGTAAATAAACATTATAGTTAGAAGATAGTAAATAAACAGTACAGTTAGAAGGGATCCAGTTTAAGTTACCATAATAGGAATCTGTAGTAAATAATAATCTATAGTACATATTAATATGGTGACTTAATTATGGTAGCTTAGATTTAAATCCCCTAAGAAGAACCAGGTCTCGGACTCCCAGATCAGCGTCGTGCTTCCCGGCTTCTGCGCTTCGAGTGTCAGACTCGGCCCACGGGGAAGCAGAAGCCGCTCTCGGTAGGTGCCTTAGTCAACGGATCAGGGGACTTGGTAAAGTAGGCTTGTAAGTTGAGAAATGTAACCAGGGAATCCTTTGTGCTTATAACCATGCTTGTATTGAGCCATGAACCTTCAAGCACCGTCACCACTGCAGCCTTACAGTCCTTGGGCACAGCTTTCAGGGCCTCTGCCACGGTCGCAAAGCCGTCGCTCCCGACCAGCGCCGTCCAAGACTCTGCTGCCGAGGCCCTGGTCGTCACCGAAGCCACGGTCGTAAGAGTTCCCATCGCCAAAGCCCGGCGCGATGCAGAGACGGAGATGTCCCGTGGCTCTGCCAGAAAGGAGGAGGAATCCCCCAAAAAGGTAGAAGCAAATGCCAGCGAGACCATTGCAACCGCGGCCTTTGCAGGGCCTCGGGTCCTCCAACGTGGAATCCCGGGCCCCAGCGATGTCCCGGCGGTCATGGCAGGCTTCATCTTCAACGTTTTGAGAGACGGGGTTCCGACTTGCAGGTCATGAAAGTCTAAAGCCTGCATTACCTACAGCCTCCATTTTAATTCCTCCTTGTTTTTACGGTTTAGCCAAATGTATAGTAAGGATCCTATCAGGTAACCCCAAAAAGGAACTACAATGGAGACTATAGGCACCATCAGAGTTTCCTGAAAGGATACCATAAAGCAACTATGGGGATCTGTGCTCTAAGGGTACTACAAAGGTTACTAGAAAGGATATGAGAGGTCCCGAAAATCAGGGATACCTTATTTTGGGGGTCCTTATAATAAGGATCCTACTATTTGGGGTGCTATATTAGGGTCCCCTCTTTTCGGAAACTCCCATATCAGTATGCACATTTTTCCTCCGTTGATACTGGTACGATGGTATTGTATGCATGCTGAACCTGCTCACTGCACAAGAATTGGAACAACTGCTCTTGTGGTCTTCTTCCGCATCTCATCAAGGCCAGGGTTCGAGCAAGAGACGCTGGAAGGCTTAGGGTCTTCCCAGAGAACCCAATACCCCTTGAATAAGGAGTAGACCTTAAATTATAGAGGCCTTATAATATTATGATTTAGGGTATATTCCTGAATTAAGGGGTATTGGGATCTCTGGGTTCTGATACAAACATCAGGAAATGCACGGAGCCTCCATTGGCGCACAGGGAAAACTGCTCTAAAGCTCAATGTTCTCAACGCTCAATATTCTAAAACTGGTCCAATGCACACACGCACATAGCGATAGATCAACAACAAGATGCCGGGATAGATCTAGACTCGACCCAGACCTAGTTCTAGATATGGGTGGTTGTCAAAATTATGGTCCGTTTTGGGGGTCCTTAATATCATGCGGCACCTAATATTTAGGGTGCCCAAACAGGGACCGCAATATTGACAACTACCCGTATAGATACACACACACACATGCTACGTTGGGAATGTCGAGGCTCCAAGAAGCCCCAGGCCCAAACCGCAGAGAAGCAGTCCCAACTGCTTCGCGAAACGCCAAAGAAGCCCGAAAGGTCCCAAAGCCCAACCCAGAGGTCCCAATACCACTTAACTAAGGAATATACCTGAAAAAATTCTAGTAGGATCCCTAATATGGTTTAAAGTATATTCCCAAATTAAGGGGTATTGGGTACTCTGGGTATACACGAGGCTATACTGGAACTTAGAACCCTAGCAAAAATTTCATTTTTAGTTGTTTCTTAGGGATTAGAATAACAAAAAATTAGAAATTTGTTTAAAAAGTACCCCCAGGGTATACTCGAGGATTGTGGCTCTGGGACCTTACACTTCGGAGCGCAAGTTGGCGGCTTCAGAGATGTGACCCCGGGATGGCACACCCTCAGAGACTCCAACATCCCTTAAGTAAGGAATATGTGCTTAAGGGCTCCTTTAAGAGATCCTTAAAAGGGGATCTAGAGGGTTTAGGGTTTAGGGGTTCCAATATCCCTTGATTAAGGAATATACCTTAAATTATAGTGGGATCCTAAAAAAAATTAAGGCATAAACCTAGCGCTGCCTATCCCACCCCCTGAACTTGGGCATCTTAACCCCAGCGCCCTAAACAGTACAGCTTACACCATACGCGGCCGAATAACAAACCCTAAATGAACAACTTGCACCCGAATGTAGGAACCTGATTAAGACATCCTGGGCCTATAACCCCAAATAGTAGGACAAGGAACTCGAATAAAGGCCCAAGTTTTCCTAATCAGGTTCCTACAATAAGCCCTCAAAACCCTTATAGTACCCTTATAGTCCCTTTAAAGGTTCCTGCATTAAGCCGAGCAAAGCGAGCCAGGAAGACCTCCTCCTGCCGAAGCGAAGACACAGAGCGAGCTCGTCGCCACCGGAAAGAGGGTTTAAGGCTTGGGGCTTGGGGCTTGGATTTAGGGTTTAAGGGTTTAAGGCTTAGGGCTTGGATTTAGGGTTTAAGGCTTGGGGCTTGGATTTAGGATTTTAGGGTTTAGGGTTTAAGGCTTGGGGCTTGGATTTAGGGTTTAGGGTTTAAGGCTTGGGGCTCGGGTTCTACAGCTTTAAGAAGGTTTAAAGCTTCGTCACTACTACCACTACTACTACTACTACTACTACTACTACTACTACTACTACTAACATACAAAATGTCTTAGGGCAGAGGTTATCTGCCGACCCTCGGGGGGGCGGCGTGATGGTTCTTCGCCCATTTCCGCGGCCATCCATTGGGGCCCTGAAGTCCTGGTACAGTTTTCAGAAGGTTCCGTTTAGGGTTTAGGGTTTAGGGTCTAGGGTTTAGGGTTTAGGGTTTAGGGTTTAGGGTTCCGAACCTCAGATCCCAGATTCAGATACCAATCTACTTGCGGGCCTATATTTCTGACTCAGGCTCCCTAAACCCATAAACCCGTTTAGGGCTGATGCAGGGTTTAAGGGTTTAACCTAAATCCCCCCAAATAAAATAACGGCCCTACACCTATGAATGGCTATTACTCTGCATACTTTTGGGGTCCCTAAACCCTAACCCCAAAGCTCCTAAAACCTGATGTAGGGGCCTGGGCCTAAACCCTAAACCCTAAACCTAAACCAGGAACGGAAGCAGACTCTTGAAGTTCTCAACTTCTGAAAGCCGGGCCCAAGCCGGGGAGCCTGAAAAAGACCCTGACTCCTCGGTGCGTTAGTTGTATTGGGACACGGTTCAGGGTTTATATAGTAATTATAAGGTCTGGGTTTGGGGTTGAGGGTTGAAGGATTTCGGCTCCGGAAACCCCTACGGTTGATGATATGAATCCTGCATTACCTTAAGGACCCTAAAGTATGGGAATTATGGTATAGTCCTTATTATGGGTCATGCAGGACTTATATCATCAACCGTACCATCCACCCCGACTGCCTGAAGGCTGCCATCTGGAAGTAGGCGGCGATGAGCACAGTGATCCCAATGAAGTAAATATCCGCCACCGGCTTGCTTACAACGGTATTGACCTCTCCCAAGGCAAGTTCCGAAAGAACCGAAATAGGGGTCTGAATAATCGGAATGGGGTTTTGGGGCCAGTTATACGGTGAAGTACTGTGATAAGAAATTTTATCAATTAAGAAATGAGAGTCTGAAGCGGGAACAAACTTAGAAATCGAGACTCTGGATTGTGGATTTAAAAATGTTTTTGAAGGATTCGGGTATTAAACAGGACTGCTTTGGGAGCGGTGCAGGGTTTAGGCTTTGTGGCAGTCGCAAGCCCCAATTGTGAGCAAGCAAAGCTGGGAAGGCCCTAAGTTTCCTGAATGCTGCCCCAAACTGCGCGAAAGCCTAGAACACTGTCCTAGGCACGTTTCCGCTGGGAATCCTAAAATTTAGTGGGATGAGCCCTTCAAAAGCCCTGGCAATTGCCCCAAAGCTGCCCCAAATCCCAGAATACCGTCCCAGAGAGGCCCTGCAAAGCCCGAAATCCTCGAACATTGTCCTAGGCACGTTTCCGCTGGAACCCTTTGAAAGCTGCCCAAAACTGCCCGAAAGCCCTTCAAAAGCCCTGGCAATTGCCCCAAAGCTGCCCCAAATCCCAGAATACCGTCCCAGACAGGCCCTGAAAAGCCCGAAATCCTAGAACATTGTCCTAGGAACGTTTCCGCTGGAATCCTTGAAAGCTGCCCAAAACTGCCCGAAAGCCCTTCAAAAGCCCTGGCAACTGCCGCCCCGAAAACGTCCCAGAGAGGCCCTGAAAAGCCCGAATTCCTAGAACATTGTCCTAGGCACGTTTCCGCCTTTCCCTGCAGTCTCCATTGTAGTTCCGTGTTTTTGGTTTCGGCTATAGTAAACGGATCCTAATAAGCTAACCGGCTAACCAAAAACGCACTGCAATGGCGACTGCAGGTTGAGGCGAATTTGCGATTTGGATTTCGGCATTTTGGGGCAGCTTTCAAGGGTTCCAGCGGAAACGTGCCAAGGACAAGCTTTCAAGGGCAAACGTGCCTAGGACAATGTTCTAGGATTTCGGGTTTTTCAGGGCCTCTCTGGGACGGTATTCTGGGACTTGGGGCAGCTTTGGGCCAATTGCCAGGGCTTTTGAAGGGCTTTCGGGCAGTTTTGGGCAGCTTTCAAGGGTTCCAGCGGAAACGTGCCTAGGACAATGTTCTAGGATTTCGGGCTTTTCAGGGCCTCTCTGGGACGGTATTCTGGGATTTGGGGCAGATTTGGGGCAATTGCCAGGGCTTTTGAAGGGCTTTCGGGCAGTTTTGGGCAGCTTTCAAGGATTCCATCGTGAGTCGAGTCGTCGAAGTCGGCGAAGTCCGCCACGTTGAGGGGACCAAACCACCCAATACAAACCCACCTTTAAGAAAGTCTTTTTCAGAGTCTGGACTGATCCCAAATTTCTTATTCCGAACTGCCAGATTAAGAAATATCCTGACCCTCGCTTCCGAAGGACGATTTCTTATCAAAAGCCTCGACCGTACTCTAACTACAATAAGGAACCCCCGAAAATAGAATAGGATATTTTCAGGCCCCTTTATTGCGGTTCCCTCGGAAAGGAGCCCCTACTCCTCGTCGTTGAGGCTTAGATAAGAATCGGTGTAGGGTCTCTACGCATTGGTCTATGTTACTATAACCAGGACCTGTAAAACCATGCTAAGGCTGCTACTGTAGCAGACATGCCAGCCATTAGAAGATGGATAGTCGCGAGTCTTGGCTGGATGGGCATCCAGCCGCCAGAAACGTGTTAGGATTCCAGTATGGACATTAAACAACTGACGAAGAGACTATGTTGTCCACAAACCCTGTGAACTCTGAACACCCATGACACCAAATTACACTACAACAAAACTCCACATAACACGTGCATGCTTGTACGTATGCATGCATGGTATTGTATGCATGTATATATGTATGTGTTTACGAACCTGTAACTATGTTTGTATGTGTGTATATATATAATTCATTATATATATGTGTATATATATATATATAATGGAGACACATACCGACACACACACACACCCACACGCTGTCTCTCTCTCTCTCTCTCGCACGCGCCCTTCCAGACCTGAAGCCCCAAACCTGGACTCTGGACCTCAAGCCTTCAAGACAAACCCGAAACTACTGTTGATGATATAAATCCTGCATTACCTTAAGATCCCTAAACTATGGGAAGTATGGTATTAGTATATTCCTTATTATGGGTAATGCAGGATTTATATCATCAACCGTAAGCCCTGGCCTGCACAGCCGCCAGCACGAAGAAGCCCGTCGCCCATAGGTAGAAACTCAGGGTGGCCAGCCTTGCATCGGGGCCTTAAATATTAGAATAGAGTTTGGGGTAACTTATACCAAAAATACAGGAACCCAGAGGAGTATGATGCTCAGAGAAGTCTAGACATTACTCTGAATCCTAAACGGTAAAACCAGACCGCGAAACCCCCAATTAACTCCTAAACCCTAATACTGAAACCTCAAAACCTTGAACCCTAAACCCCGAAATCCTAAACCCCTAAACTCCTAAGTTATAAACCCCTTACCCCTAACCCCTACCTGGACCCCAAAAGTATGTAGAATAATAGCCTTTAGTGGGTTTTGAGCCATTGATTTACTTACTTTTGGGGCTCTAGGTAAATTTATCCCAAACTCCCAAACCCTAATACCGAAACCTCAAAAGCCTGAACCCCTAAACTCCTAAGCTATAGACCCCTAACCCCTAAACTCCTAAGCTATAGACCCCTAAACCCCTAAACTCCTAAGCTATAGACCCCTAACCCCTAAACCCTAAACCCTAAAGCAGCCTTTGTCGGAAGTCATTTAGCTTATTCTATATAATATATCATAATATAAGTATCTTTTCATTAAGTATGTTTTACATTCACCAGTATAACTTCTCGGGCCGAAGGAGCTGGAGGGGGACAAACTCGATCGGCAGCTCCGCGTGGTGCTCAGAGGTCTTCACCATGGCGGAGACTTCGAGCATACACCTTATGGCTTTTAGGTTAGCTTTTTTTTGTTTTTTTGAGCTCCTTTTTTGCACCTGCCGGGTCTAGGATTTAGGGTTTAGGGGTGTAGGGGTTTAGGGGTTTAGGGGTTTAGGGTTTTAGGGCTTAGGGTTTCGGGTTTAGGGGTTTAGGATGCCCAGTAACCTCGGGATAAAAAGGGCTCCCTTTTCGGTTTTGGGTACCTTTGTAAGGAACCTAGGACTACAAAAAGGGAATAAGGGTACTACTGGGCATCCTAGTTATGGCTTATAGTATAGGGCATATAGATCCTATAGGGCTGTTTGTAGGGTTTAGGATTTACATAGGGTGATTATCGGGCGTATAGGGTGTATATCTAGGGTTTAGGGCTCTTGAGGGGTTTAGGGCTTTTGCGGTTTTGGGATTTAGGTTATGGATTTAGGGGTTTAGGGGTCTAGAGGTTGCGGTTTTTGGGTGTGAGGGGTAGGGGGGGTGGGGCTTCTAGGTTCGACATAAGTCTCTGAGTCAGTACCAACTATAGTCCGTGAAATTCGAACATTACCTGCACCAAAACACCAATTCTACTTGTTCATGCATCTATAAACCTATAAACCACAACTCTCGTTATTCAGGCCCCTATATGCAGGCTCTACCAGGGTTTTGGAAAGGTTTGATGGAGCCCACTAATATCTGCAATGATATCCTTCAGGGATCGAGAAAAATCATGCAGTGGTTCGCAGATTCTGAAGGTTTAGGCTGAGGCTCTAGGTCAGGCCCTATGATTGTGGAGGTTTGGGGCTCGAGGGTAAGACTCTGCATGCACAAGTCCCAGGAAGGAGGTGATACGGTTGCCCTGAAGCTATACTACCCTCAAGACGCAAGAGTTTTTTCAGTGCCACTAGTCTGAAACGTTCAGTGCTCTTATGTTGCAGTCGGGCTGGTAATACATCAGCAGGATGAAAGCTTTGTCGCACTAAGATGTCTTTGCTTGGCGGAGGACTCGGAGTACCAAGAAGTGCATTTTACGTGGCCTGGCCAGCGGAGGAATTTCTATGCAACGTTACACATGTGCCATTTTTTGTTCTGACCGAGGAATTAGTGACGTCCGGGCCTCATGCCGAGACTTCGTGAAGGAGTCTATGGGGGACAGGGGTTTGCAAGTATATGTTAATAGATCTGGGAGTTTCCGAAAATTGGGGGCACCTTACTTTAGGGTACTTATAAAAAGGATCCTACAATTTAGGGTGCCATATTAGGGTCCCCTTATTTTCGGAAACTCCCATCTACCCGATGCGACGAAATTTCGTCCTGGCGCAGCCTGAATTTCGAGTTCTGTAGTGGTGTGCAAGTCACTTCTGTGTGCAACAGTGTGGGCATGCACCGCAATGGCTTAGGTTGGGAATTCAGAGAAAGAGTACATACATATATATATATATATACACATAATGTATATATATATATATACACCGCTATAATATATGTACATGTATATAATACAAAACGAGAGAGAGAGAGAGAGAGAGAGAGAGAGAGAGAGAGAGAGAGAGAGAGAGAGTGAGTGAGTCCGGGCTTTAGGCTTGAGATAGCACAGCAGCTAGCTACACAGCCTGGAAGGAACCGACGATCCGAAATTCTCAAAATTAAATACTCCAAGCTCCAGAAGTCCAGCCCTACTGTAGGTGCCTTAATAACTGGAATAGGGTTTTGGGGACCCATATACTATAATTATACGAAGGAACCCCCGAAATAATGTAGGTAATTGTTGAGGCCTCTGTAGTACACCCCCCACTACAGATCCCAAACTTGAACCCAAGCTGCCTTGACCTGAACTCCTGGACCCGAAGTCCCCCTACAGTAAAGCCCCAAAACGTTGGAATAGGGTTCCTTTACAGGTCTCCTTTAAAGGGGTCTATAATAAGGGATCTATAGTAGAGTTCTATAATGTAAGGGCCTTACAGCAAACCCTACAAAGTTGGAAACCGGGTTAAGGCCAAATAGTGCTGGGATTCCCTATACATCACTCTTGAGGATTGAGGCTACAGGGTTTGAAAACTCTTGGGCTTCTACTGTAAGCCCTAAACCCTAAACCCGTAAACCCCTAATCGCTAAACCCATAAACCCCTGCACCCTTAAACCCTCAGGATTGAAGCTATTGGGTTTCCAACTTGTGGGCTTCTACTGTGGGATCCCAGGTCACCTCGGAAAAAAAGGGCTCCCTTTTTGGTACTGGGTTGGTTTGTAGGAGCCTCACACGGTTAAGGGTTTAGGGTTTACTTGGGGGGTCGGGGGACTTAGTAAGTAGTTAGTAAGTAGACTTTAAAAGGGACCCTAGTTGGGGTTATGGTACTTATAAGTCCCGGTCCCCCGATCCTCCAAGTAGGGCGTAAGACCGGAAAAGGCAAAAGTGGGCCCTGCTCACCTGAAAACCAAGGTGCCAAAGACGGGTGAAGTAAGCCGGGCTCCAAAGCAGCAGCATCCTTCACCCGGTTTAGGGCTTTGAGTTTAGGGTTCAGGGTTTCGGGTTTAGGGTCTAGGGTTTAGGGTTCAAGATTTAGGGATCTTCAGGGGTCCTTTCGGTGGGTGGGGTACAAGGGGGGATGGAGGCCGCGAGCAGACTCTCAGGGCGTTCTGTCTTGCAGGGGGTGGGTGTTTCGGTTTGGGCTTTAGGGTTTAGGGTTTACGGTCAAGGGGAGTCTTCTGTGCCATGTGGGCTTCCCTCCGGAAAAGGCATGAAACCCGGCAGAGCCCTCATGAAACCCGCCACGCATCCTATGGCATTCCCCAAATCTCCGCCTTCCGCCAGCTTCAAGCCCTCAATGACTCAAGCGCGAAACCTTTAACCTAACCCTGACGACTGGCCGATTAATCGTTACTTGAGGGCCTCGAGGGGTACATCCCTCAAATACCACCCGAAGGCTCCAAAAAAAACACAAGCACCCTACTGTAAGGTCTGACCGAGATTTATGGGTTCCTGCACCCAAGATTTCGGGACAGTTTTAGGCAGAGGTACTCACAAAACCTACGTCCAGGCAGGATTGGCACATGCTAGAAATCCTACTAACCATACACCCAAGCCCCCTCGCCTCAAAAAACAGAAAACGCTCTTAACCGCCAGCTCCTACACACCAACTGAACCCCAAAAGCCACTCCGTTGGGCCTGTCAGAGAGAGCCACAAAAGCGCCAAACGAGGCCACGCCGGCATGCTTGAGCTCCAAGTCCGTCCTTATACGATTGAAGGTTTAGGGGCATTCATTAAGTGAGACTCTGGGGCTTAGGATTCCTTGTAAAGCTCTAACTTAGGGGGGTTTAGGGTTTAGAAGACTTTGGGCTTGGGATTCCTTGTAAAGTTCTGGTTTAGGGTTTGGATGGCTTGGCGCCGCTTCAGGACTCGTCGCCGCTCCATGCCGGGCTGCCTCCTGGACCCAGCTATTGGGTTTAGGGTACTCCTCTAGGGGCTGTCATGAATTTAGGTGCCCGTGTTGGTACCAAAATGTGTACTCAAATTGAGGGCCTCGTTATAGAAGTATATAGGGTCGATGGATCATACCCCAAGGGTCCAAGTACCTGATAATCATATACTCTCCAAAATCCTAAGCTACATAACTACTGTCCTAAAACCGAGTACGTAATTATTGGGTCCCTTGGACCCTTGGGGTTAGGGTTTAGGGGTTAGGGTTTATAGGGTAGTTGCAAACCAAGCCCAATGCTGTGTTGAAATTCTGCTTGGTGCAGGGTAGAAACTGACTTGTGAAACTTTGGAGGGCTGTCTCCGCAACTTTGCCCCACAAGCGCAGTCTGACATCTGCTAATCGGGAGGGTCTTCGAAACCGAAGTTTAGGCCACAGTCATTTAATTTTGCCTTCCGGCTCCCTGATCCTAACAGCCCCATGCCAAAAACTAGATGCAGCCCTTTCGGCCCTTTACAAACCTTCAACCTTAAACCCTGTATGAAAGCTGAGGAGTTGAAGGTCAGGACGCAGCACCTCTAGCCGCCTCGCTTTTCCTGAGCCCTGAATCCTCGCATTTTGAGGCTTCGCCTTCAGCCCAAGAACCTCATACGGTTGATGATATACATCCTGCATTACCTTAAGGAGCCTGAACTATGGGAATTATGGTATATTCCTTCTTATGGACAATGCAGGATTTCTATCATCAACCGTAGCAACTGAGTAGAAGCCAGAAAGTTGGAACATCATTAATTATCCTCATGCCCCTAAGGTAGAGGGAATCCTAGCACTAATCATCCTAAATCCATGTTCCAATTTTCTAGGGCTTACTATAGTCATCACACCCTTCCAGGGCCCTTCTAGCAACCCTTATAGCAGCTATAGTACCCGTACACAAACCTTTACAGTAACCCTTGCGCAACCCCAAACCCTAAACCACTTCGGTGGTTGTCAATATTAGGGTCCCTTTTTGCCTTACTAAAACACGGCACCTATTATTTAGGGTACCCAAAAAGGGACCATAATTTGACAACCAACCACCTTCGCACCCTGCAGGTCCAAGCATCTGATGCACGCAGAACCTTCGAGGGCCACGGGAGGTCTCAGGAACCCGAGGGTTTGGTGTTTACAATAAACCCCATAAAGTTGGAACAGGGTTCCTTTAAAGGGCTCCTTTAAAAGGGGTCTATAACAAGGGACCTATAATTATAGAGTTCTATAATGTAGGGGCCTTACAGTAAACCCTACAAAGCTGGAAACCGGATTAAGGCCAAAGAGTGCTGGGATTACTATACATTACTTTTAAAGATTGAGGCTATTGGGTTTCCAACTTTTGGGCTTCCACTGTAGTGTTTTAGGATATCTCCTCGAGATATCCGGCATTCTTCGCCTTACTTGGGTTTAGGCTTTAGGCATGGGGCTTAGGGTTTAGGAGTTCAGGGTTTAGGTTTCAGGGTTTAGGAAATGCCCTTCCGAAGTCTTGATATTACAGCTAGGATGGGGAAGCCTTAAGAAGAGATCCCCTGCTTTCTTTCAAACAGATCTCCTTGGTACCCTTACACATGGGTTCATGCTAACGAGTATAGAATATTATATACCAAAGAAATCGTTGATTCGATGATATTCCTTACGTTACACTAGTGGTCACTATAAGGAACCCTTGAGTGAGGCCCGAAGCTGTGAGGCTAGCCCCGGTAGGATTCAGGGTTGCTTCGTGGGATTGATTGAGAACCTGTCGCGTGCAGCTAGCAATCGGTCCTTACGAATTAGAACAGGGTTCTGCTGTATTGTACGGGGTAGTTACCAGTTACCATAAGGAACCTCACAAATTTTCATCGGTGACGTTAATCGGTAACGATTTTGTCCCCCGTATCTTCTTGGGACCTGGGCTTTCCATGGTGCTTCAAACTCGTTACACGACCACATGGACCGCCACACAAAACCCCAAGCCCAACCTCAAATTCCCAAGATAAACCCAGAACCCAATACCCCTTAGTTCAGGAAGATACCTTAACAAATAGGGGGCTTAATCTTATGATTTTAGGTCTATTCCTTAATTCAGGGGGATGCATGGGCTGTGGACACGAAGTGTCGCAGAATGAAGGACCAAACCGAGAAAGGGCCTACTATGATTTTAAGATTTACAAGGCATGAAGAACAGCAGAGTTGGTGCACCACCTCTGTTTGCCGAACACTGGGTGCTAGGTTTCATTCCTGATGATTGGAAGGCCTCCTTTATCCGGATTTCTGACAGTTCAAGAGCCTCTCTTGGGTGTCTTTGTGATTGTGATTCCGCAACTTCGGTTTAGGGTCTGTGCTAACTGTCTCGGCGGCTATCAGAAACTCCTAAATTACCCAATCCCTATGCCTGCTTGTGCTCCCTGCACTTCACTTCATAAACCTCCCTTCAGAGGATCAAGGTGAAGAATCAAAAACCCTAAACCCTATGTACTTGTATGACCCTCTGCGCCCTAGAAGCCCTAAACCCTGAACCCTAAATCCAACCCAATCCCTACAAACCTGAGCCCTGCACCTGCGACCATCGAATCCCATCAATGCAGCCGACAGGCTTGTCCAGGAAGTAGAACACGGGCCGACCAAGCCTTGCAAGGACCCGCTGCCAGCTGCCAAGGACGAAGAAAAAGCAGCAGCCGCCCAGAAGCCTTTCAGGAGCTAGGACTTATAGGCTTTTTTTAAATGGGCTCTTTTCCGCCTGCATGTACAGCTAGAACTCCTATACTAGGAGGAGCCTGTGGTTGGGGCCTTTGCAAGCAGAACATCATTTATCTATCATACTGCTGATGAACAAAATCCTGCATTACCCTTTATAAGGAATATGCCATAGTTCCCATAGTTTAGAGTCCTTAGGGTCATGCAGGATTTTGTCCATCAGCAGTATCCGCAGCTGACTTAAAGGGTTTATGGTTTAGGGCTTCGGGACTCATAGGCTGGAAACGGTAGACCTTACTTGGGGGGTCGGGGGACTTAGTAAGGGCTCCTTTAAAGGGGATTCTAAAGGTTCCTTTAAAGGGCTCTATAAGGGTAGTATAGGGTTTAGGGTTTAGGGTTCAGGGACTTAGTAAGTAGTTAGTAAGTAGACTTATAAGTACCCTAAAAGGACCCTAATTGGGGTTACGGTACTTATACATCCCTAAAATAACCAGTTACTAAGTCCCCCGACCCTCCAAGTAGGAAACCTTTGACTAGCTTCCTAGTTGCCCAGCAGCTCCAAAAGTCTAACTGCGGTGCCAAAATGACATAGGCACGGCAAAACTGACTCAACACACCCTACAGTACTTCACATCCCTGTACACGACTCACCCAAAACCCTACAACCCAGCTTTACAAAATACTGTGCAACCAGGCAACAAAGCCCATGGAAAGAACACGAAACCCAGGTCGCGAGGCGCCACCACCTAACACAAGGGCTCAAGGTTCAGGGAGTAGCTTCTCAGAAACCTGTAGGGTTTATGGTTGAGGGTGTTGGGCTCTAGGTCTCAGATTTTCGGGTTCATTTAGCTTTGTTGAAGGCATAGAGCTGTTTGACCACTCGCATGTTTTAAGGGTCGGGCATGCCCTGTCAACCTTCTTTCTTCTACACAATATCTGCTGGCTAAGAGTGTACTATCAACACACCATCGTGTTTGCAGCGGTGCTCTGTCATGTACATAAGCGCCTAGCATCACAGAACGTACAGCAAAACATTACGTAGCTTAGCTTGGTGGCGATCGCAGTGGCTACATCCAGCAGAATGGCCTCTAAAACAGCAATCGCCGTGGCACGGAAGGCAACACAACCGAGCGCTTTGTGCCAAATTACGGTTCGGCACCGTGCAGTTGAACAGCTTCGAACTGGAATTAAACATGAAATGACGGCTCATGCAATAATTAATACCGACAGCTTCCCTCATGTTATTGAAACCAAGTGCAGCCCCCTGAACCTTTCGGACAAAAGTTATAGCTATACATATACATCTACATCTACACATACATAGCGAGAGAGAGAGAGAGAGGAGGTATAACTGGTATGACAGATACAATAGATGCGATGAGAAAAAAGTGATAACCCAGATATGACAGGTATTATAGTGCTATATGCGTGCAGCTATATCAGATCATACCCTAGCATAATAACATATCATGTCATGACATACCATATCATATCCAAACACACATACAAGTATCGGACCCGCAATGAAGGAACCAAGGTACTTTCCGCAGATCTGGGGTGGACGCACCGCATACAATCTTCCGTTAAACGAGGAGCCCTGTTAATTGGAATGGGGTTTTGGGGCCCATTGTACTATAAATATAGTTCATAAGGAACCCCCAAAAGAGTATTGGTATTTGTTTGGGCCCCTATATTAACCATCTTCTATCAAACAACATGCAACCTACATCCCCACAGCCGAACGCCTGCGCTGGAAAGCCCATGGAAACCCTGCAGCGACAACGACTGAACCGGAGCCGGATCCGGTAGCTTAGCGTTTTGTCGTCGCCATGGTCTAGGGTTTAGGGTTTAGGCTAAGGGTTTAGATGGTAACGAATAGCATCCATGGTCATTGTTGCTTTGACATTCGTGCTAGTGCTACCTAGAAGGAATATCTTGGAAGCATGTTAGCATGCTTGGTAGTGATATGTCGGTATACCTGCAGTAGCTGCTGTCCGTGGAATACCTCGACACCCTAAACCCTATACCTCTACACCCCTAAACATCCCTAAACCCTAGACTCCAATAGCCATGTTGCGGGGAGCAGGCGGTACCGCCCCAGGACAGTACAAGCTGCTGCTACCACGCTGGAGGCCACCATGGCAGCATTCAAGTTGCCTTTGGTTTAGTAGGGAACGGAGGAATGGGGGTTACTATAAGGGATCTATAAGGGTACATAACATGGGGGCCTTAATAATCCTATAGCTTACCTTTGGCTAGTAGGGAATGGAGGAATAGGGTACGATTATAACTACCATTACTACCATTCTTCCATTCCCTACTAACCAAAGTTAAGTTCAAGTTGCCTGCGCATCTCCGAAGGCTTGTTGACAGGACTGGACAGGGCTTTGGGGGGTGTCGGTATAATCTAGCAGCCTTGCAGTGTAGAAGGGGCATGTTGGAAGGTGAGCCGTATAGACATGAAACAAGCCCCGCACCCCAGCCTCAAGAACGATAATGCCTTGCCACGCCAAGGCCCGACAACTCTGAAACCCGAACTTCCAGCTGCAGACCGCCGAGTAGCTGTGGATCCACAAGGCAAAGACCTGTGCGAGTGCACAGGCATGACTTGCAGCATTGTAGTGGCAGCTGATTGACCTCCTTCTCCTACGGTTTACCCTAAACCCTAAACCCTAAACCCTAAAATCTTGCAGCACTACAGGCCCTTGGCTCAGCACCTCGCCCCTGGCTGCCTAGCCTGCGTGCTCCCAGCAACAAGGGGCCGTCGCTGGAATTCTTGGCTGACTTCTGAACCCCTCCTACAAGTTAAACTTTAGCTTCCGTATTGTAGTTCATATAGACACCCCAAAAATTAGTCCTAAGAGTCAACCCGAAGAACACCAAGAATTCGTTCCGCTCGGCTAAGGTTCATGCCTTGCCTGGACTACAAGAAGAGTTCAGGTCTCGGAGCGGGGTTACAGTTGCAGGACAACTAAACCCTAAACCCTAAACCCCTAAACCCTAAACCCCTAATCCCTACACGCCAAAACTTTAAACCCCTATAAACCCTAAACCCCTGAACCCCTAAACCCCTAAACCCTAAACAAAGCCATGAGATGTCTGAAGTTACAGGGGCTTTGAGGCTTACGGGCCCTCAGGTGCAGGTCGGGTACCCGAAACTCTAGAACTCCTGAACCCTGAGACCCTAATTAAACCCCCAGGTTTAGGGTTTAGGGGTTAGGGTTTGGGGTTTAGGGTTTAGGGTTTAGGGGTTAGGGTTTAGGGGTTGGGGGTTTAGGGTTTAGGGTTTAGGGGTTAGGGTTTGGGGTTTAGGGTTTAGGGTTTAGGGTTTAGGGGTTAGGGGTTAGGGTTTGGGGTTTAGGGTTTAGGGTTTAGGGGTTAGGGTTTGGGGTTTAGGGTTTAGGGTTTAGGGTTTAGGGGTTAGGGGTTAGGAGTTAGGGTTTGGGGTTTAGGGTTTAGGGTTCCCCAAAGCCCCAAACCCTAAAGCCTAAACCTGAAGGCGCCGCTTCCTAGCCTTGCCCGATCGAGAATCGCTCCAGCAGTGGCTTATGAAGTAGTCAATCCTTTGCACCTCGGGCTCTAGGTCCTAGCTTTTCGGGCTTTGCGGGTTTTGGGGATAGGGTAGAGGCGTTAGGGACGTTGGGGCTGAAGGATGTTTAGGGCTTAGGGTTCTGGGTCTGGGGTCTTTTTTGGGTATCCTTTGTACCTCAGGTGCTGTGTGTCTCGTTTAGGGCTTGGGGTATACCGATTCGGGCTGAGCTCTTGCACGGCATATCCACCGTGCATGTTTGCTCCATTGCATCACGTGCATCCTGGTTCAGGGTTTAAGTTTAGGGTTCAGGGTTTAAAGCTTAGGGTTTAGGGCTCCGTGTGGCCAGGTTGAGTTGAAACCGTCATAACCGTCTGTTGCGCTACGCACTGTCAACAAGTAATCACGAGATGCATTGTAAGCCAACAGTTGCTGTATGCGCAGAAGAAGTATCTGGGTTGCGGTATGCCGCAGTAAGCACTTGACTCACCTAGGCAAATGCATTTCTTACACGAGGAGCCAAAGCAAAGCTTTACAAAGAAAAGCTGTAGGAATATGGGTGGTTGTGAAAATTAGGGTCCCTTTTTGGGGTCCTTAATATAATACGGCACCTATTATTCAGGGTACCCAATTAGGGACCCAAATTTTGATAGCTCAGCTACCCATACGGAGCAAGCAAAACCGCAAATGCTGCCAGCCTGGCATCTCTCCGGCCTTCGAATCTGAAAGCCCTAATGCCCGAAGTCCTAAAAGGGTTTAGGGTTTAGGGTTTCACGGTTTAGGGCCACAAAACCCTGCACAAAGCCTTTTGAACCTCCGAAGCCCCAAAGACTTGAACTCTAAACTCTAAACCTAACTGCTACATCCTAAACTCAACATCTAGACCTTAAGCCCTAAATCCTGAATCAACACCCCTTAAACCGCTGAACCCTAAACTCTAAACCCCTGAACCTAAACCCTAAACCCCTAAACCCTGCAGATCCCTTATAGAACCATTAAAGGAATCCTTAACCCTAAACTTACAAACAACAACAGAAACTTGGACCGACTGTTGACGGCCGCGGAGCAGGACAGGACTTCTGGAAGATCCGCTCGGCTACCTGGCAAGCGCTCGTGGTACGTTTACAGTAAATTCATAAAGTTGCTAACCGGATAGGGATTCCCTGTACATTACTCTCGGTGATTGAGGCAACTGGGTTTCCAACTTTTGAGCTTTTACTGTAAGAGTTGCTATGTTTGCTAGAGAGTTTCATGCGGGATGCAAGGCGTTTAATAACGGCTTCAACAGGGGCTGTGGATTTTATAGGGGTTGTATAGAGGTTGATCAGATTTTGTAATGTTCAGGGTTGGGATTAAGGTTCCGATAGAGATTACTGTCAGGATTACTGTGAGGGTGACGGTCGTGGTTGCAACTCAAGCTAGGGTGCAGGAATAAATGGTTTAGTGATCTAATGAGGGTTTTGG